AAAAAATCAAAAAACGAAGAGTTTACACTGCCAAGAACCCACCTTTATAATCCCAAATTCCCCATCCAAGTATAGGTACATTCACATTTCCATCTACCGTAACCCTTGTGCCAGGATTCACATCCAGACCATTATTAAACTCACTGGTGAATGGAAATATTGGCGTCAGTGAAGATGCATCCCTACCCGGATGTGGCTGGAAATATTTTCGTTAAAAAGGTCACATAAGAGGGTTAAAGGGGGTAGTATAGTAAAAGTGGAGGAAGGACTACCTGGTAGAATGGCGGTAGATTATAATCTTCAACTCGTGGTTGGAAAGGTGCTGGATTAGGAGGGTAAGCTTGTCGTCGAAACCGAACATGCTGAGCGTCTGCTGAAAGAGGTATAAGGAATTAATGCAGAAAATTACAACAGATTTATTTTGCTGAAAAAATGCTGGGAAGGATCGCCATGCGTGTTTGCTGTGAGCAAAAACGAACAAAGACACTTTCACCTTGATTTTGATAGCAATTTGATATTTTATTCGAATAATTAGCAAAAATATGCATATGTGAGATTGGCTCGAGATGAAAACTTTGATTTGAAGGAGTCTGAGCCTGATTCATCTCTTTGAATATAGCTCCGTTCATAGTGTGCATTAAGCATAATGCCTAAGTTCGAGTCAAAAAGGTAGATCAGTCTTAAGCCACCATAGTTTGAAATTATACAAAAAAGCAACTAAAGTACCATATTCTCAGTTTTGTCTTTTTTTAATGCGCACATCTATTAAATAGATCATGTCGTCCCTTCATTTACTAGCAATGTAAAAATTCCTGAGCTTTTCGCGAGATATTTTTCACTGAAAAGGAAAGTTTTTTTTTTCATAAAAAGCAGGGCTGTCCGAGTGATACTAACTTCATAACTTATGTGATTGCTTTTTAGCGAAAATGTTATGAAATAAACTTTCTTTCATTTCTCTTTTTTTCACATATATAATTTTAAAAGGGATTAGGGAAGTCGGTAACCAAGATTTCGCAGCTACCCAATTTAGGACCCATACGAATTCGGCTATAAGTTATTGCAGAACAAGACAGTAGCTCAAAGTATGAACAAATACAGGTGTATGATTAGAAAACCTACCAACTATGCTTAGCGATAAGCTGATAGCGGCTAACGACACGGCTAACCGCATCGTGGTGATCGCGAAAATCTTCGTAATGAAACGGATAACATCGAGATAAGAGGCAAGTCTTGACAGTTCATTGTCTCTTTTCGCTATCGTACAGGTTTTGCATTGACGAGAAAAAGCGCAGCATAGAAAGAAAAACCCGAATTGTACAGGTTTAGTGAAGGGTGGAAATGAAAACCGCCTGCAGTATCAAAAAGGTTATGATTTTTGTCGTCCACTTAGTTCTCAACAAAACAACGCATAGGGCAGCCAACCGAGAAATTTCAATGCTATGGCAATATGAAACCAAAAAAATAAACTGGGTAACATACTCCTGAAAGGAGTCGTAAAATGTACGGAGGCAGAAAACATGATCGAGTGTATTCGAGGCCAAATGAGGCCATTCAGTTATTCAGCTGTGTAAGCTCCAGGAGCCCGCCTAGTTTTCTTCTCACACAGTTAGTCTTATGGATAGACCACAACCATGAGATGGAAGGTGCGTAGTTTAGCCAAGCACTCCAAAATTTTTTTAGTGTGATTCCCAGAAATTTGGGGCCCATAATTCCGAACAGAAAAAGGGAGCGTGGCGCCAGCTACTCCCTTGAAAAATTTTTAAAATGCTAGATTGAATTGTTCAAAAGTTCCACTGTTCTTAAATTCGGCATCACATTTCTATCCTAT